ACATATAACTAACTAACTAATCTGCTGACTAGCTAAGCTAACATATGAACTAACTACAATTAACACTAATTACAACCAACTCTAACTGTACAATAGTTCACACTCCCCCTCAAGCTGGAGGGTGCAAAATATTGAGCACTCCAAGCTTGCCTAGTAAAAATGTATGTTGTGACTGCCCAAGCCCTTTAGTAAGAAGATCAGCTGGCTGATCTTTAGTCCCCACAAACTGCGTGCAAAGCACTCCTTTTTAATCTTGTCGCGTACAAAATGACAGTCGATTTCAATATGTTTGGTGCGTTCATGGAAGATAGGATTGGCTGCAATTTGAAGAGCAGCTTTGCTATCACAATAGACTTCTACAGGCTGCTTGATGGGCACTCCAAGCTCAGCAAACAGTCCCAATAACCAAACTACTTCTGATGTCACAGCTGCCAGGCTTCTATATTCCGCTTCTGCCGAGCTTCTTGACACTGTATGCTGCTTCTTGGATTTCCATGAGAGAAGTGAATTGCCAAATTTGACTAAGTATCCAGTTACAGACCTCCTTGTATTTGGACAACTCGCCCAATCTGCATCACAAAAACATGTTAAACAGTTTGCTTTAGTACTGCTTAGGAGCACTCCCATGCCTGGTTCATGCTTCAAATATTTGACTATTCTCATAGCAGCATCCCAATGAGTTCTTTTGGGCTCTTGCATGAATTGACTGAGTGTTTGTACTGCAAATACAATATCTGGTCGTGTGATAGTCAAATAGATCAATCGACCAATCAATCTTTGATATTCATTTGCATCTGATAGGACTTCATCTCCTGCGGTCCCAGTGTGCCTGTCAAATTCAGCAGAGGTGAACTTTTGGTTAAGATCTATTGGAGTTGAAACTAGCTTAGCACCACTCAGCCCCAAATTAGAAATGCGTTGAAGGCAGTACTTTCTTTGATTCAACAATATCCCTTCTTTGGACCTCGTGACTTCAATTCCCAGAAAATATTTGAGCTCACCAAGATCCTTCACCTTGAACTTCTGGTGAAGAATAACTTTTGTCTCATTAATGAACTCCTCACAATTACCCGTAATCAATAGGTCATCCACATATATCGACACTGCTACAAAGTCATCTCCTTTTATTTTAGTAAATAGTAAATAGTCATATAAACTTTGAACATATCCTGCAGCTGTTAGTGCTTCACTGAGCTTAATATTCCATTGGCGAGAGGCATGTTTAAGCCCATACAATGACTTCAACAGCTTGCAGACTTTTGTCTCCCCCTGTCTCCTAAAACCGTGAAGAAGTTCCATATATACTTCTTCATAAAGATCCCCTTGTAAGAATGCATTGTACACATCCATTTGTGATATATTCCAGCCTTTAGAAGCACCCAAAGCAATAACAGATCGCACATTTACCATCTTGGCAACTGGTGAGATTGTTTCATTATAGTCTAGCCCTTCTCTTTGGCTATAGCCCTTTGCTACTAATCTGGCCTTGAACCTTTCTACCTCACCATTTGCTTTATACTTAATCTTGTATACCCTATTTGAGCCAATGGCCTTCATGCCTGTTGGAAGATCAACAACATCCCAGGTTCGATTGCCCTCCAAGGCTTTAATTTTAGCTTCCATAGCTTCAACCCACCTCTTGTCCTTGCATGTTTCACTGAAGGTCTTTGGTTATGTCAGCTCTGAGATTTCTGCCAAGAAACTCCTGCACTTATCAATTAACTTGCTATAGGACAAGTAGTTAGATAGAGGATATGAGGAATTTCCTCTTATTGTGGTCACATAATTCTGTAACCATATAGGCTCCTTTGTGGTTCTCTTGGATTTTCTTATCTCAGTAGTCTCTTGCTCAATGACAGTTGGAGAAACTTCAACTTCCTCTACTGCCAAATGTTGTTCTGGTGTTGCACTACTACTTGTTGCCTCTGCATCTGCACCTACACCACTTGTTTCATCTCCTTGTAGTGAATGCTCATTTCCTCCATGTTGCATGTCCGTATGTATTTCTGATAAGGTAGGGCTATCATCATTAGCTTCATGTCCAGCAATGTAGATCCCTGTGGTGTCATCAATACCACCTTCTTCAATAAATTCCTCCAAATTACTCCTGCAGTTACTTCTGGCTGTTTAAGTGCATTCCCACAGGAATCTTGCAAAGGCTATAACTGTTCTAGAGCATCTTCAGTTGTTGGCTGTCCCTTTGCGTTGTGGAAAGGAAACATGTTTTCTTTGAATATAACATCTTTGAAAACAAAGAACTTGTTAGTATTTAAATCCATTAGTTTGTAGCCCTTTTGTGTCTCTTCAAAACCAAGAAATACAGCTGCTCTTGCCCTTGGTGAAAACTTGTCTTCCTTGACCAAGTTAGTTGCATAGCAGAGACATCCAAACACTCTAAGGTGAGTTAGTGAAGGTGTTTTGTTGTGAAGAAGTTCATATGGAGCCTTTCCATTCAGCAGCTCAGTAGGCAGTCTGTTTATCACATACACTGCTGTTTTAATGCATTCACCCCAGAATCTTGAAGGGATATTTGCTTGAAACTTCAATGCCTTAGCTGTATCTAAAATGTCTGTGTTTCCTCTCCACTATTCCATTTTGCTGTGGAGAGTAAACACAACTACTTTGATGTACTATACCATATGCATCAAACAGTTCATTCATGTGCTTGTTAAAGAATTCTGTGCCATTATCTGTTCTAACAACTTTCACCTTAGACTGATATTGAGTGGGTAACATGGCAACAAATTTCTTTAATACCACAACAACATCACTTTTCAAGTGAAGCAAATGTACCCATATGTATCTTGTATTATCATACACTACTGTCAGGAAAAAATGTTTTCTATCATATGTGGGAAATTTATATGGTCCCCAGACATCCATATGCAAAAGGGGGAGTGTCTGAAGGATGAACAAACAAGGGATGCGTGTGGTCAATGTTCTCAGCAGCCATTGACGATTGTCTGTTGCAGCTTCGCGAGGAAGACGACGATGAGATCTCAACTAAATTGAACAAAATTTTACAGATTATGATTCTTCACTGCTCTAATACCATGTGAGCTTGATGAATCTGGGCATAATCTCTAGATTCATCAAACAATTGAGATTGGGTCTGAAATGGGGGATAAACTCGAGAGAGAGAGAGAGAGAGAGAGAGAGAGAGAGAGATAAAGGCAGTTGAGAGAAAATGATTTTCTGTGTATTGAAAATGAATAAGGAGACATACTATATACATGTATTAACTTAGCTACTGGGCCCCACATATAACTAACTAACTA